ACACACACACACACATATATATATATATGTATATATGTATACACACACACACACACTCTTCTAATTGTTGTCAACTTTATATCATAAATAAATGGCTCCCGATTCTTCAATCATTCGTTAGCCAAAGTCATCCTTTAATAAATCTATAATATAAAACAGGGTAAGTTTCAATAAATCCATCTGATGGTCTCAAATAGACTCATCTAACGTTAACCAACATCCCTCTCAAAACCATTTACATTGTATCGTGCTTTCAGACACAGGTTACCCTTGATGATTCTTATGAGCCGACCTAATAGAATTTGAGCACTGATGGAAGATATAGCTACATGAGCAAGAGATCTTGTCATGACTATCCCACTGCAATAATTCTTGCCAAGAGGGATGGTTATGTTGTGGAAATATCATGATCGAATGAATGTTAATCAAATCAAAATTAAGTAGAAAAAAATATGACTTCTATATTCATTAATGAGGAAACTATAAGACCACAAGTTTTTATGGTTTTAAGGATGGTAATACAAATCGGTGCCAATGAGGATGGAAGACTCTATTACTTATAAAGGCTTTGCAATCTGGATATAAATGTGACAACTGAACACTATCTCATCCCGTGAATAATGAATGGTCAATATTTTGAGCAAAATGCCTTCTCCGCTTGTGTTTGTTTTTAGAACTCTTTCTGCAGTTGCAATGGTATTTGCTTACAAACTAGAAATTTAGAAAATGACATGATATTTGCTAGGAGTTGTAGCATAAAAAGAGTAAATCAGCTTTATTTATTATTTATTTTTTGGGAAATCAGTCATTAATGTAGCAGTCCATGTATAAAGTACCTACTAAAGTCTATGGTGTAAAGTGTCTTCCATCGTACCGCTATGTATGTGTGCATGCGCTTGTGTGTATATATACTGAAGATGCTGTTTTTGTTGTTCTAGATTTCACATTTATTAACATCATTATTTAATGTTTCAGCTCTGGGAAATGTCAAATTATACATTGGAGAGAAGGTCACAAGGAAGAATGCCGCCCTTTTACCACTGCTCACCAGATCAATGGTATGGGAGGTACTTCTAATCTGAAGGCGTCAAAACTAGAAGAGAATGAGAGTTCTGGTTATAGCGTTGAGACTGAAGGGGAACAGCGTGCTAAACCAGTTGAAACCTCCCCTGAAGTGCCCACATGTTCTAATGCCAGTCGCTTGGGATTACCTCATGGGAAGGATGATATTCAAACTGTGTGTCTGGCAGATGATAAAGGGACAAATTTGACTGGTCACTTATTACCTAAGGGATTTTCTGCATCCGCTACCTCCAGTGAATCATCTGTTGATGCTTCTGTCAGTGATTCAAATGATTCTGATAGATCAGATGAGCATCAGTCAACTAATGTTTCTCTGGAGAAGTTTGACTCTATTTGTGAAAACATCAAACAAACTAAGCCACCTTTCTCAAAGCACCCCCTTTGGGCCAGCTCTGTAGATAGTTTTATCCGTTCAGGTAAGGTTAATCAAATCAAACCGAATTGTATTGATGGAGATAGTCAGTGTGGATCATCAAGTTCATCAGGTTGGAGTGTTGGTGGCTCCCATGAGTCTTCATTCTCTGAGCCTTCTACATCCTCTTCTGGTTTCTGGGATGGAACTCTTGAATCCAGTAGGTCCAGAAATGATGCCCTTGATGGTTCTGTTCTGTTTAGTTCCAATGAGGCTGGTGATGGCAATGCAGTTTCTGCTATGGATCATCGTAGTTCTTCGTTTGACTTGGCTGGAAATGCTGTTTCTGCTGTGGATGTACAAGGCTTTGGCACCAAAACGTCCATATCAGAAAATGTTCAATCAATTAAGTCTGGAAGCAGGGAGCCTACTGATGGAATTGCAAAACTGAAAGAAAGAAGTGAAAATGGTTCAAAGTCCAGGAGATCACCCTCGTTGAGCTCTAAAATGTCTAATCATATTGATGCCGACATACTGAAATCCAGTGAACATAGATATTCCTCATGTAGTGCATCTTATGCTTATCCGACTTCCAGTGCTGAAGGACGTTCACAAATTAAAGATGTTTCAAAGGTCAGTCCCTTGCCATCCTTGAGTGCTGAACGGTCAAATTACGGGGTTAATAACACAAGCAGCACTTTACATACGCTGAAATCTGAAGAAGTTCGATCTTTATCATCCAAACCTTCTGATACTCATTTATCATCTACATGTGGAAGGCATACAGTTCAGAATGTGCAATCTGGGCAAATTGACCCTGCTTACGAGGGTGCTGCTTGTTCCTCCCAGTTTGCAGGTAAATACCCAAATGCTGGAAATGGCGTGAAAACATCAATGAGGAAAGTTGTTGACCAGCTCAGAGCCTCTACATTATCACGGTACTATACCTTAGGGACTGGGAGTGAGATTGCGGGAAGATATAGTAATAAGGTTTGGCTTGCAGCTTGTTGTGTTGTTTTGGTTCTACGATGTTTGCACTTATAATGTAATACTCTACACTTAGTATATCTTTGTTTTTGCAGGGCCTCTTTCCATACGAATTGTTTGTGAAGCTTTATAACTGGAACAAGGTTGAGCTCCGCCCATGTGGTCTTACAAACTGTGGGAACAGGTAATGAGGCAAACAAGATTAATGGTTCATAGTTTTGTGGGGTTCGATGCTTGATTTTGAAATCTCTGCAAACTTGGTTCACTTGAACTCAAGACGCTTCTTGATTCTGCACTTTGGCTGTTCCCTGTATTTTTTTGAAGCAATGTGAATGTGTTGCTGTTATCTGTTTTTATCTTATTCACTTACTTACATATTATGTCAAATGAACGTGAATAATGTGTCTTACATGTATGAACTGATGTTGATCCGTCACTTTGGGTTTCAGGACTTGGTGGCGCAACTTTCTGTGGTTCTGTTTTCAGGAACCAGCTTTATTGTTTACACATTTGCATGCTGTAATGTCATGTCTGTTTTCTGTGCCAACAATGTCAAACCAATGATTTTTCTAAAATGATATTATGGCCTATACAGTTGAGTTTGTTGGTTTAGTAAGTTATCTAATTCACAAATGATAAAATATTTGATGATGTGGCTAATCAGATTTATTGGCATGTGCTGGAAACTATGTTCCACTTATTCCCTTAAATGTACTCTTGTAAACTTGCACTACTGCACCCAATACTCTTGGAAGCTTACATCTCTGTCTCTGGTTTTCTCCATTTCAAGTTGTTTGCTTCTTATATTCATATCGTTTTTATCATCACAAAAATGTCAATGCCATATTTTTCCCCTCAGCAATGCAGCATAGAGACTCACTTGTCATATTTCTATTATATCCCCTATTTTGGAGGTCACTTCAAATATTGCAGAAGGTTCTGTTTCATTTGGTTTTTTAAACTGTGCTCTTCTTTTTTTAAATCTCCTGCAGTTGTTATGCTAATGCTGTGCTCCAATGCTTGGCATTTACCCCACCTCTCACTGCTTATTTTCTCCAAGGACTCCATTCCAAAGCATGTATGTCTCTGATCTTGATCCGTCATATGTCATTCATATTGGGCATGTAATTTGATTCTCTTGGGTGTTAATTTCTTTATTTTACATTCATCCGTATTAGGTGAAAAGAAAGAATGGTGCTTCACCTGTGAGTTTGAAAAGCTGGTTCTCAAGGCAAAGGATGGTAGTTCCCCACTTACTCCAATTCGGATATTATCCCAGATACAAAACGTTGGAAGCCATCTTGGTAATGGCAGAGAAGAAGATGCGCATGAATTTTTAAAGTGAGCTGTCTTTTGCATTTGTTGGGGCCTGCTGAGATTGTGTTTTTTTCCTTGCGATCTGTTAATATGTCTTAGTGCTAGTTAATTGAGGAGTGAATTCACAGGTATGCTATTGAAGCCATGCAATCTGCTTGTTTAAAGGAAGCCGGGGTAAGTGCATCAGGTTATTTGGAAGAGTCAACTCTCATAGGCCTTACATTTGGGGGCTACCTTAGATCAAAGGTAATTAATATTCGATAAATTAAGAGCTTTAGTTGTTTTTGTGCGCTTGCGTCTGTTTTAACTATGGCTTGCACGTCATTTGGCCTATGTGAGTGGATTCTGCATAGAATATGGATAATGCGTGTAAACTGTGAGACTGTAATGTGCAGATAAAATGCATGAAGTGTGGAGGCAAATCTGAGCGGTATGAAAGGATGATGGATCTGACTGTTGAGATTGAAGGAAATATAGGAACCCTCGAAGAGGCTCTAAGACAGTTTACGGGTACCGAGATTTTAGATGGCGAAAACAAGTACCAATGTAGCAGGTTTGTTGGTTTAGTTTGTTTCTTAAAGCCCTCGAAGAGCATCTTTTGGTATTAGTCATTATATGGTGACATCGATATGCAATTTTCTAACAGTGCACCTTTATAATTATGGCAATAAACTGAAGCATTATGGTTGAGGCACAAAACCCTCAGGATTCTTTGAATCATGTTTTATTTTCATTTGGTGTGATGGAATTTCTTGGTTCCAAATATCTCAGAATTGGTTTTGCTTTCCAATGAGGACTTGGCGTTCTATTGTCTTTGTCAAGATTCCTCACTGAGGAAACTGTATGTGGTCGTGCCTTCATTGCATGACTTTAAACTCCATACTTATTTGGTAGGTTTGTGCTGTCAGGTGTTCACATGGCTTATATCCCCCGTCAGTCACCAATGCCTTTAGGAATGGTGTAAATCATGGCAGGTTCACATTGGGCTTTCAGCCAGGCATTACTAGTCTCAAAATTTGATAGATCATTATTTGTTCCACAAAGCTTATTCCTAATACTTGTAGTCAATGCTTGCTGGGTGCCATTCTGGTTCAGTTTTATTTTGAATTATCTTTAGGATAAGATTGGAAGAAAATTGGGTTTGATCCTACTTCCTATTTAACAGCTCATGGTTAATTGGATGTGTTTACGTTGTCTGTTCAATCAATTCTCTTGGTTGTGAATGAACAGGGTGTAAGTTGCAATTTGTAGAAAATGTGTGGAACTGCCATGCGTGGTACTATGTTGAATTGATTCAGTTACAATTATAGTTATGATCAAGTTTTATTATCGGTTGTTCTTCTTAATTTTTCAAGTATGAATAATTCATGGTACTCCGGAAAAAGGTTGCCTCAGATTTTGGAGATTGGGAATAAATGTAATGTGTTTAGATATTGTTTACTGTCTACTCTGAATCTCTGATGTGGTTGTATCATGCATATACTTCTCATCATTAGAGTTTGAATAGCAAAGGTGCACCTTGTATAGTTTAGTTTGCACTGGTGGTGGTTTTTATTTATGGACAAGTTTATGAAAGTTATGTTAAATGATTTTAATCACTTCCCGGGATTTATTATGTTGGCTCAATATTTATTATGTTGGATGGTAGTGCACATGATAATCTTTTTTTTTAATAAATGTGGTTCGTGGAATTGTGAATCAGGTAGGGAAGGAGAAGTTGATTTTATTTATTCCTTGTTCTTAATTGACTTTATTGTTTCATTTCATACTGCACTATACTGTGACCCCTAAAAAATCATTACATTGTTTCATCCCCACTAACCAAGGGTGCTAGGAGGGTTGGGTACAGACTTAACCTTTGTCCTCTTAATTTTGTCAGATGCAAATCTTATGAGAAAGCCAAAAAGAAGTTGACAGTACTGGAGGCTCCTAATGTTCTGACTATTGCATTAAAGAGATTTCAGGTAATTTAGTATGTCGAGATTGTGTTTTACTTTTTGTTTTGCATTTTTCTTATCACTTGCTAAACTCTATAATTTTGCAGTTGGGTAAATTTGGGAAACTCAACAAGTCAATTCGGTTCCCAGAGATTCTGGACTTGGCTCCTTATATGAGTGGGACGAGTGACAAGTCCCCAGTTTACCGGCTTTTTGGAGTGGTGGTTCACTTGGATGTCATGAACGCTGCATTTTCTGGTCACTATGTGTGCTATGTGAAGAATATTCAGAACAAGTGGTTCCAGACTGATGACAGTACAGTATGTTCTTATTTGCATTAAATTTGCACACTTCTAAACAAGTTTTCTTTAAATTATTGTTTTTTCTTTACTGCATTTTAAAGCATGTTTGATTTTGATTTTGTGGCTTTTTTTCTTTTGAATTTTATCAAGGCAACAATTGGATTTATCGAACTGTTTTGCCAACAAGAAGCTTTCTCTCCATCATAAGAGGCCTTTTTTATGAGGAATTTTTAGTGCATTGTAAATGGACGCTACAGATTTTTCTTGTTGGGGTACAGTGCTTGTGGTTCCATGTCCTATCCTCTGCAATTATGGATTGGATTTGACTCCCTATGGTAGTCTTGGTTATGTAATTCTTTCAATTGCAAAGCTATGAAAGAATTTAGAGAACCCTAACTGAAAAAGTATGTGTAAGCTTCGTTTGACTTATCAGTCCTGGGAATCTGCCATTGGACCTGTTAATATCTGATTCACCAAATGTACAATTGGGGGCTGGTTAGGTTATTTATTTGGGCTTGAGCCTGGTTTAGTCTGTGAGTCTGATGGCAGAACCTATTGATATCTGGTAGTTAAACTAAAAAGTTTTTCAATAAGGGATTGTCTTGGCAACTTATGTATGCTTTACTTCATTGCTTGATTGTAGATTGAGCTACTGAAGAATGAATTTATATCATTTTCTCATAGCTTTGATCCTATGCTTGTAATGGTTGTGTAGGTCAAAGCTGTGGAACTTGAAAAGGTCTTGACAAAGGGGGCGTACATGCTTCTTTATGCTAGGTAAATGTTTTAGGAGCTCTTCACTATTTTTGTACCGCATTGGTTTGGTTTCTAATTAATTACTTCTAAATTTGTAAAGGTGCTCGCCACGGGCCCCAAGAGTAATAAGGAACTTAATAATTCCTCGTGATCCAAGATATCCAAAGAATCCAACATCGAAGTCAAGATCCAATTCTGCAGGCCCATGGGATGATCCTCTGGCTGATTCGCTGGGTGGTCACATTCCACAAGGCCATGCAGGTGTCCATATGATTCAGACGAGTTTGGAAGAGGACTCTTCTAGTGACATTTCTTCCTCTTTCTTCTCCGAGGCTGGTTCTTGCAGTACCGAGAGCAGCAATAGGGATTCCACTGGCATTGATGACTACTTTGATCAAATATTTGGTGATTTGGGATGCAATTGGAATAGCCCTCATAGGAATTCCTCAGATTCTGACACTTCATCTTCCGCATCATCTCCATCTCCCATGTACTCAAGGCGTCCACACCCTGCCAACTTGGACTATAATGCTTCAAGATATCCTGAGACGAGTGGCTCTCGGATTGATAGTGCGGAACCAGCTGTGGATAGTGGTGATCTTTGGGCAAGACAACCTGGCTGGAGTAGCAAAGTAAGTGTTCCGTATTCATATTCTGACTCAACTAATCTTAGGAAACTAGTTAGTAGCAGTAGTTGTAGGGAGACCGACTCAAATAGATTAGGATCAGTTTACCCTTTCGGCAACACGAAATCTGGTGTATGTTTTAGAAGATCAACGAGTGGAAGAACGGATTAAGCATTCTATTAAAGAGGTTTTGAGTTAGAGAGAAGGGGGGGAATAAGAATTCGGGGTTTGGGATTAGGGAGTGGTTGTATGTATTGTACTCTTGCTGTTGGCTCTGTGTTGAAAATGAGCCATCATTTTGTCACTCTCTTTCCCATTATATATAGTTATGTCATTTTGTATAAACATCCATCTCTAGAGTGTACAGAGGGATAAATATTCCCAATTGTAGGAGTCTTCAATGGAACTTGGCTTATTGTCAATATGAAGCGGATGATATACTTTTATTCGTGGTTACTATCCTTGAGAAAAAGTTTTATGTTGAGTTTTGGATTTGGATTTTATCCAATACGTTTGTCAATTTTCTTTTAATTCAACGATGAATCCCCCTTTTTTTTTTTTTTTTGGTTCTACGGTCAGGGGTTTCTAGGTTAATTTATGTGCACCTTGACTAATCTTTTCATCGATTCGGTCAAAAGTAGGTTATTTATGTCGGAATTAAGATATTTATGAAGGATAAATTTCTCATACCTTAATCTCTCAAGGGTTTGAATCATCACAGATCAAAAATTTAGGTGAAATTTATTGTATATAAGTGGTGTCCATTATTATATAATGGGTATCTTATTATTTAGTGAAATTCAGGAATAGTATCGGGGATAATTATGTCTTAGGGTCCAATGGGTATTGAACTTTATTTTGAACGAATTTACAAGATATTATACCGAATAATTCATTAAATTTTAGAGCACTTGAAAGACTAACGATTATATCTAAAGGGACACGGCACACCAATCTGGTAAAGTAAAAAATACCTTTTATCATTATGAGTGAAAAGTAAATTTCAAAAGAA